TAGGTACTCGGTGACAGGAACTGATGATGACTGATAAGAGAAGATAAAGGACCTAAGAGTGCCACCTACCGATCGAAATCTTAACATCTCGGTATGTACGATGTAGCTTTGACCATTCAGTATGTTTCATTCGATAAGACGAGATGGTAGAGCAGGGTGACAAAAGTGAGCGGTAAGTGCAGCGATAGGGACCCATTAAGGCAAAACGATATGCAGATTAGAACTTTGTTCATTTCTCACTATTAGATTACGACCGCTACCCAGCAAGATTTGTGATTCAATGAAGAGTCCTCTTTGCTTGATATCAACTGCGACAAAACTTGATCGACCGCCAGTAGTCTGGAATTCTCAACTAATGATATCTCCGTAAAGAAAAGGGTCCCCTGATCAAGAATATCTGATAACGGTGCTATCGTCACTCAGAACATCTCCACAACATCATCTTTGATTGTCTAGCAGTTGGATTTTTGATAGGTATTTATTGCAAAGATAGAGAGCATAAGTTCGAGAGTTCCAATCGAAGGCGTAAGCACCGACTTTAACTGAATACCATTTGCACTGCCCTCATAGTCCTGTATCAAATTTCGTGTACAGGAAACTGCCATTTGTTCCAAAAAAGGCGTGGAGAGTTAGACTTACTACAACTATCAAAGAAAGAGAGAAGCTTTCGATTTCTGTTGTGTCAAAGAAGGATTTCGAGCTCTGTTTCAGTTTCATCCCCTCACTCAGCTAAACACGGAAAAAACTTAAAGACTACAAACTTTGAAAAAGGGAATAAAATTCTTCAGTTCAACATTTCTTGGGATAGGGTGTTTGACACAAGAAGGAGGAGAGCCTGGCGTTAGCCGGGCGATCCGACTGGTATTATTAATAACTACATTAAAGCGCTCGCGTCCGTCTGTCTGTACATCTGCTTGTTTGCACGGAAATTCGTAACTCTTATCTCCGTGGACCTAGAGCATTCAAATTTGGTAAGGATGGGAACATTATGGCGGGTCGATAATGCCAAATGTTAGCAATAATTATATAATCGTAAATAATAAATAAATAACGCCATAATGTAAATGCAGATGAGACGCGTAATGTTTGAGCGAAAAGTCGTAACCTCTGTTCCCGTGGACCTGAGGAATTCGGAGTTTGTAGTTTTAACAGGTGATGTAGGATATGACGGGATCGTAGGTACTTGGGGACAGAAACCGACGATAGATGATAAGAGAGGATAAGGGACCTACGAAGGGCCACACTCCGATCGAAATCCTGGCGCATTCAGTATTTACGATGCTGCTTTGACCGTTCAGAATGTTTCATCCGATGAGACGGGATGGTAAAGTATGGTTACAAAAGTGAGTGGTAAGTGCAGCGATAGGGACCCATGACCGGTACTACGATAAGCGGGTGGGGATTTTGCTCACTTCTTGCTATCAGATTACGACCTCTATCCAGCAAGGTTTGTAACACAATGAAAGATCCTCTTTGGTCGATATCATTTGCAACAAAACTTACCCGATCAACAATAATCTGGAATCCTTCTTATATATAAAGCAGTAACTTGGTTTGTCGGTTTGTCGGTATGTCGGTTTGTCGGTCTGTCCGTCCGGGTTACTTTGTGATTATGATAAATGTAGTGATATGGAAAACTTATTCTTCTCATATAAAAAGCAGTCACTTCGTGGGTAGGCTAATGGAGTAAAGTGAGCACTGTGGAGTGAAGCGAGTAATATGAAGTGAGGTGGATGGTTCAAATTGTGATCTCTACTGTACTGTAATGGCAGTACTTCGACACTGGTTCTCAATAAATGATATCTCCGTAAAGGAAGGGGTCCATTGATAATGACATCTAATAATGGTATTATCATTACTCGAAACATTTGTGAGCACTGCCCATGGCTTTGGTTGCCTAACAGTCGAGCCTTTAATGGGTATTTACTTTTGTGAAGGAGAGCAAAAGATCGAGAATTCTAATTAAAGGCACAAGCGCCAACCTATGCTGGATAACATTTGCAACGCCCTGTTAATCCTGTGTCAAGTTTCGTGAACAGGAGATTATTATTTGTTTCAAAGAAAGAGTAGAGAGTTATCGATCACTACAACTTTGTCGAAAGAGGAGAGCCCGGCATTAGCCGGGCGAACCGACTGGCTAACAATGAGACAGTGCTTCCCAGAATTGCTTTATACTTTTTCACTCTGAAGAGATTCGAGAAGAAGTGCCGCATGAATCCATTCCAAAAGTAAATGTTGTGTTCATTCACGTTGAAGTAATTGTACGAAATTGGTGGGCGCAAAACTTTAATCGGGCGTTCTGACTTTCACAAAAGAAGGACTTCCACAAGAAGGAACAAATAATAATCTTGAAACAGCGTTAGCTGGGCGTTCCGACTGGTAATACATATATCTGCAAGTATATACACAAGTGAGTGCTGGCGGTGCCGAGATACCGTTTTACTAATGGACCGTGCGAGTACAATCAGGTAACGGGATAAAAGAGCGCACAGCACCAACAGCAATGCTAGGGGTATCTATTGGATTGCAACTAAAATACCAATAGGTGTTGCTTTCGGTATCGTTTCAAGAGGTGCTTATCGAAAGTATTGGGTTGTAACATAAGTTCGTAGAGTTTTTTCACAGAGATTTATTTTAACAAAAAACAATAATTATAATAATAAATTAATCGATGATGTATACTCCTGTTACTGTTTGCGACATCCTCCGATCTCTCGACCAATTTATTGATGCCGTTTCGCCAAAAATCGGCCGGTCTGGTGTCGAAGAAGTTGTTGAGCCAGTTTCCAAGAACCTCTTCGCCATCGAAGGTAACACTCCTCATTTGGTTTGACAGAGAGCGGAAAGGTGGTAGTCGGTAGGTGCAAGATCCGGAGAGTACGGTGGATGCTGAAGAACCTCTCATTCAAGCTTTTGAAGTGCTGTTTTGACGACTTGGGCATTATGGGGCCTGGCGTTGTCGTGGAGCAAGATGACTTCACCTTGTCCATCGGGTCTTTTCAGCCGAATAGCCACACCAACACGGTTTAGCTGGGCAATGTAGACCTCCTTTTGACAGTTGCATTTCGTTCGAGCATTTCCCAGTGCACCGTGCCTTTCCAGTCTCACCAAACGCAAATCATGACCTATTTTGAGTGAAGGTCTTGCTTGACTCTCGGCTTCGGTGTCTCTCCTGGGGCCACCCAGTGACACACCTAAGTCCATTTTGCACCCTAGACTCCTACCGAAATTGAACGCTTTAGATGCATGGGAACAGAAGTTATGAATTTCCGCTCAATCTCCGCCCATTGTGGGAGTAGTCTGGTCCTGCTGCTCACCATTAGTGTTCCTATCCTGCCGCCCGTACTCCTACCATGTTTGAACGCCTCAGGGCCGAATTGACAATTTTTGCACAAACCCTGCCCACTGTGAGCGGAGTCTGACCCTCCCACTTACCTTTAAAAGTTCTAATCCTGCCGCCCGCACTCCTACCGAATTGAGTGCTCTAGGATCTGGGGGACACGAGTTCTGAATTTCCCTCGAAAATTTATTTCTCACAAACCCCGCCCTCTTTGGGCGAAGTCCAGTCCTGCCACCCACCAAAAGTGTTCCATCCTGCCGCCTGTACTCCTAACAAATTTGAACGTTTTCGGTCCACGGGGGCAGGAGTTATGAATTTCCGGTCAGACAGACACACATACACAAACACACCAACATATGCACTTAGCCGATTATATTAGTAGGATGGTTATGGAGACCGTCGCCTTAGTAGACGATACTAACAGGGCTAGTGAAGTTGAAGACCCCTTCTCCCTAATGAATTTCTCTCGGCTTGAGTGTCAGTAAGTTGTTAAGAGGATGATAGGAGTGTGAGGAATGAACTTGTTAATGAGCGGCTGATCTCACGAAATTCCAAGAAAACAAAATTTCGATTACTTGCCAAACCTGCTCTGGTTCGAAATATGCATACCTTTCTTCTGGTATTACAAAAAATCACAGATTGTGTAACATTTATCACATTGTAAAGGTCACAGAGCGTTTCAAATTTATACTCCTGAAAAGAAGAACGTTCATAAGAAGTTATTTAAGAGAAGGAGAAAATTGTTGAGAAATAGTCGTTTCACACACCAAAATACTATTTGAATGAGACTAATTTCCCAACGGTTATACATGTCACGTAATGGTCCCAACGATAACGAATCTAGGACCTTAACAAGTGTTACTGACTGAGCACGTTCAAATGTGAGCCTACCGATACACCATCAATGAAATCCGCGGGATCCTTACACTTATCTACAACATTTTAACAGGTCCCCACGTCGGCTACGAACGGTAAGTATAAACGTACATCCTTCTGGACATTGACGTAGAACTGACGAATTCCCTCTAGTGTCAGTTCTTCTTTCTTCACAAGAATGCGAATAGGATTTCTCATGAAGCATTCAGTAACGTCAAGTACGTCGGCTGGCATAGTCGCTGAGAGCAGAACGACCTGCAGTTGTATGCTTCAAAGAAAGTGGTTTGCTATGTCTGAAACTATCTGTAAGTCGCCCATCCTAGACCAGAGAATCATTTTTTGGTTGGCCTGGTTAGTTATCGATCCGGGATTCTAACCCGTGACCGTGCTTGTGAGTTAGTGCGCCACTTCCCCCTACGCTACTTCCGCCATAATGGCGAAATATGAACGAAGAAATGTATGAATGAAAGGTACCTGTACATCTTGAGGCATTGTTTTGAAAGCTTCATAGATTTGATTTTTGAAACCTCGAGAAAGCATTTCGTCGGCTTCATCTAAGACGAACATCTTGATCGCGTCCGTTGCTGAAGTGTATGAACTTTAGGTATTTCTTGCATCTCCTGTCTCTGCGCTGCAGTCAGCCCTTCTATTATAGAACAATGATCACAGGAAAGTCCAACTCACTTAGAATTTCACGATTGATCATATCATTAACGCGTCCCGGAGTGCCAACAACGACGTGAACACCAGCTTCGAGTTTCCGTTGATCATCTCGAATACTGGTGCCACCAATGCACGCGTGAACCTTCACCTTCATGTAATCGCCCAGAGCGCACATTACCTTTTGTATCTGAAGAAGGATTCGGACTGGATTTGATTTATCTAAAAGCGAGCTATACCTGCTGAGCTAGCTCCCGTGTGGGGGCCATTACCAATGCCTGGACGCATGGCTTTTTTTCATCGATACGTTGTAAAATAGCTATTGAAAATGTGGCCGTTTTGCCGGTCCCGGATTGGGCTTGAGCAATAACATCACGAGCTATAGAATGCGATACTGTAGTCGGAAGGTCTTGCAGCTGATGAAAAACTTACTGGTGCAACACGGAACAATTGCCCGTTGCTGAATGGCAGATGGCTTTTCGTAACCGAACGCATATACTCCACGCAAGAGATTTTCTTTGAGATTCATCTCATCGAATGATGCAACAATTCGGTCGTAGTTACCCTGCAGAGCCCTTTACTGATGCTGCACTATAAAGTGATCAAGCAATAGCTCTCATTAATATAACAATCATCACAAGCATAACATCACCAGTCGGCCCGATGGAGTTGTAATAATCGGCAAATCGGCCGCTCTTTATTTGGAACAAATGACCTTCTCCGAATACGAAATTTGGCAAAGGAATAATAGGGCATGCAAAAGGTATGCAAAATGAGCCGATGCCTATGCCTATGATTAGAAGTCTCAATATGTTACTTTTCATCTTAAAAGTAATGACTCATTGAAGGTTCAACTGGTAGGCAATCAAAGCCCTGAATGATACTCACAAATGTTGTCGAGTTATAAAAACACCAGTTAGGCTTCGCACCCCAATGCGTGCACCACAAGCCCACTACCGCTTAACTACGACATGTTAGAAGACCAATATGAACAGTATGGGTTAACTTCCCCTTTCACAACTGTTTCCTCACCGCCTCATGTGACATTCACACTCTTCGTCGTGCCTACGTGACCTTCGGAAGAACGCACAAACGGGCATTCAAACAGACACGAAGTTTCCGCCTTATATATAGAGAGAGTCGGACGGCCCGGCTAACGCCGGGCTTCCCTCCTTCTCATGATAGAGTTGCGAATAACTGCAAACAGCACACTCCTTCTGTAGAACGAATGATACTTTTCGGAACACGAAGTTCAATAGAGGAACAATAGGGCATGCAAACGAAATCCAAATTGTGCCTTAGGATCTGTCTGTCTTGATCTGTCGGTGTTGATGTTAAAAAATGACTCATCGAAGGTTTAAGTGGTAGGCATTCAAAGCCTTGAATGGTACTCACGAATGTTGTTGAGTCATAATAATACCATTATCAAATGTCTTTATGAATGTAGCTCCTTTTATCTACGGATACATCATTAAATGAGAACCCAAGATTGCTAGCGGTCGGTTAAGTTTCGCCACGAATGATATCAAAGCAAAGAGAAACCGTGATCCTTCATTGAATCACATACTTCGCTGGGTAACGGTCGTAAGCAAGAAGTGAACCAAATTTCATAAGCGGTTCCTTTCAGTGCACTTACCCTTCTTGTCGAATGAAACTTATCGTATCGTAAATAACAAAGGCGCTAGGATTCAATTGGTAATTGGATCTTGTTCTCTAAGACCTCCGCTATCGTCAGTGTACCCATCCTGCAGCCTCTACTATTGATTTTGCCCTCCATGTCCACGGGATCAGGAGTTTTGGATTTTTGCTCAGACATTTATTCCGCAGAAACCCCGCCCCAGTGGACGCAATCCGGTAATACTAGCCACCATAAGTGTTCCCATCCTGCCGCCTATACTCCTGCCAACTTTGAACACCTAGGGCCAAATTGACTATTTTGGCGCAAACCCTGCCCCCTGTGGCCCGATCCTACCGCATACAATATGTGTTCCCACCCTGCCTCGGGTACTTTCTAATAAATTTGAACTTTCCAGGTTCACAGGGCTAGGAATTACGATTTTCCGCTGACACATTTATTTCGCACAAAACCCGCCCTCTGTGGGCGGAGTCCGGTCCTGCCACCCTCCAAATAAGTTCCCATCCTGCCGCTCGTGCCCCTACCAAATTTGAAAGTCCTCGGTCCACGGGGACAGGAATTGTGGTTTTCCGCTCATAAGTGTTCCAATCCTGCCTTCAGTGTTCCTTCCAAATCTGAACGCTTCAGGTCCACGGAAACCGGAGTAATGAATTTCCGCTCCAACACTTGCTTTGCACAAATTCCGCCCCTGTGGGCGGGGTCCGGTTGCCACTACCATGAGTGTTCCCATCCTACGGCTTGCATACCAATACTTAAAATGCAAAAAATTGAAGTCAGTGGAGCATAAAAACGACAAAGGAAGGGTAAAGAATGGATAAGCAAACCAATTAAAAGGACAAAATAACAATACAAACTAAAGACGGCTCGTTTAGCTTCTCACCAGACGAACCACCGCCTCCGCTTTCCCTTGAGGCTCACCAGTAGTTTGGATTTAGTGGAAAAAGGAGTGGGTAAAGGTATTGTTTATAACAAGGACAGGAATGAATACGAAGTTATACTGTTGGAAGTGCTTCTTTTTGTTTCAGAATTCTATTGCAACTAAATAGGTGATTTTATTGAAATTATCCTCGATAAAAGAGCTTGTAGAATATAAACTTACCAGTCGGATCGCCCGGCTAACGCTAGGCTCTCCTCCTTCTTGTGTTAGACACCCTATTCCGAGAAATGTTGAACGGAAGAATTTTTCTACCACTTTCAAAGTTTATAGAATTAAGTTTTTTCCACTGTTTAGCTGAGTAAGAGTATGATACTGAAACAGAGCACGAAATCCTTCTCTGAATTGACACAACAGAATCGAAGGTTTCCCTCCTTTTTTGATAAAGCTGTAGTAAGTCTAACTCTCCACTCCTTTTTTGGAACAAATGACAGTTCCCTGCACAGAAGCTTGACAAAGGAGTAGAAGGGCAGCGCAAATGGTATTCAATTAAAGTCGGTGCTTACGCCTTCGATTGGAAGTCTCAAATTTTTTCAGAAATAAGTACCCATCGGAAAACCAACTATTAGGCAAACGAAGATGACGCTTTGGAGATGTTCTGAGTGAAGATAACACCGTTATCAAATGTTCTTTATTAGTGGACCCTTTTCTTTACGGAGATATCATTAGTTGAGAATTCCAGACTACTGGTGGTTGGCTACGTTTTGTCGCAAATGATATCGACCAAAGAGGACCCTTCACTGAATCACAAACTATGCTGGGTAGCGGTCGTAATCTAATAGTAAAAAGTGATCAAAGTTCTAATCTGCGTATCGTCATGCAGCTAATGGGTTCCTATAACTGCACTTACCACTCTTTTGGGCACCCTATGAAACATACTGGGTCGAGGTGGTGTAGTGGCAGGTGACGTACTATATCACACGCACGGTCATGGGTTCAAATCCCGGATCGATGTCCGCCTAGGCCAACCAAGCCTTCCATCCCTCCGGGGTCGGTGAATTGGTTCCAGACTTGTCTGGGAGGATAAAAGCGCTGACTTGTACATCGGCTGGCTACCGCAAGTCATTGTATAGGCCACATACCCACTCACTACGCCACTACGATTCTGAATGGAAGTCGACTGCGGGGGCGCATCCCTCGGACGGGATTTATTAACCCCAAAAGCTTTATCCTTCATCCTTTATGAAACATACTGAACGGTCAAAGCTACATCGTAGATACCAAAGACGTTAGGATTTTGATCGGTAGGTGGCTTCTCTTAGGTCCCTTATCTGTCTCATCAGTTATGATCATCTTGCCTCGGAGTACCTACGATCCCGTAGTGTCCTACATCGTTTACTTGAAGGCACACTTCACGAAAAAAAATGGTTTTTGGAATTTCTCCATAGGATGAATTTGAGCCCCCCCCCCCCTTATACCATATCTGGCGATATCATGTCGGAAAACGGCTTAGTTAGGGCGTTACAAGGGCTCGAAGATTGGCTCGTGTGTATCTTCGGACGAGTTTCGCCGGCATTGTAGATGCTGCACCAATCACAATGGAACCCATATAGGAAGTTCAAACAATTTGTCATGACCCTTAGTGGCAGTGAAAGCAGTTCTGTACACTTCTGGCTTAATGTAGTCAACTCTTTGTGCAATTGCAATAACTGAAATCTCGTCCGAAAACCCCTTGCATGTTAATTCCGTCATGGTAATCTCGTCCACCCTCTATTTCCCCACTTTTGAGGAGACTTATTTTTGTCTTTTCTCGCTTTCTTCACTGCCAATGAACTACTCCCACCTGTACTTCCGCTTTTCGACTAAAAAAGGGTACTTCAAAATTATCGCGAACTGTGCTTTTAAATGCCGAGGTTCCACTGTTAGTACGAAAAGTGTAATCCTACCAAATTTCAACGCTCTAGGTCCACATTAACAGGAGTTGCGAATTAGCGGCCGAAATTTTTGTTGCGCCCTCCCAGCCACCTGTGCATGGAGTTCGGTCCTGCCACCCACCATAGTGTTCCCATCTGCCTCCCGTACTCCTACCAAGTTTGTACGCTCTAGGTCCACGGGAACAGGAGCTATGAATTTCCGGTCAGACACACACACCGACATACACACACGCAAACACACAAACATACCGACAAACCAACAGACACACTTAGCGATCCCACTGTGGTACATAGGATCCTACTACATATAATTCGCTAGGTGTGTCTATTGGTGTGTCGGGGTGTGTATGACTGGTAGGAGTACAGTCAGCAGAATGAGAACACTTATGGCAAGTAGAGGAACCAAACTCTGCCTACAGCGGGCGGGGCGTGCGCGATAGAAGTTTTGGGCCGCAAATTCATAATTCCTGATTACGTGGACCTAGGTCGTTGAAACTTGCTAGGATTACACTTTTCGAGTAACAGTGCAACTTCGGCATTTTAGTAAGCGATCTAGGATAAGATGGGATCGTAGGTACTCGGCGACAAGAGCCGATAGTAACTGATAAGATAAGGGGCCCAAGAGAAGCCACCTACCGATCAAGATCCTAACGTCGTCGGTATTCACGATGTTGCTTTGACTGTTCAGTGTTACATTCCATAAGACGGGATGGTAGAGTAAGGGACAAAAGTGAGTGGCAAGTGCAATCATAGGGACCCATCAGGGCAATAAGATAAGCAGAGAAGATTTCTGTTCATTCGTGCTATTAGATTACGACGTCAATCCAGCAAGGTTTGAAGCTCAATGAAAGATCCTCTTTCGTCGATATTGCTTGCGACAAAACTTAACCGACTAGCAGTTGCCTGGAATTCTCAACTGATGATATCTTTGTCAGGAAATGGTATATTGACAGCGACATTTAATAATGGTGTTATCATCACTCTAAGCAATTTTCAGTACCGCCCAAGGCTTTGATTGTCTAACACTTCGATCTTTGATGGATATTTATTTTCAAGAAAGAGAGCACAAGTTCGAGACTTCCAATTAAAAACGTAAGCACCCACTTACACTGAATATAATATGCACTGCCC